AAGACGAAAATCAGTTAGTAGTTGGAGGTGATGGTCAATGGGCGCTGGATGTGGTTTGTTTTTCTAGAACATGCTCCCTTCTGTCTTGTTCCTCAAGGTACCTTGCTGCTTCACCTAGGCTGGCTTGTTAGAAGCAAAGCAGTGGTCTGGGGGCAGGAGGGTGTCACTACTATTCCCAGGGCCCTTGGGGGGCAATTGGTCAATGGTTGGTGTTGGCATTGACAATGATGGTGGACCCTTTTTCTACAAAGGTTGATCCACTCATTGATGGTTCTGGGGGTAGGGCTTGAATCAGGCTAGTGACCTGGGGTTGGGGCTGAGGGTGGTTGACACTGCTATTCCCACAGCTTTGGGGCTCAGGGTCCTGAACTATCTCTGTCAGGGTCTTCAGGGAGGTAGTAGTCGAGGTGGTTGGTTATAGGAGTCTGACTGGTCTGGCACATGTTGTCTCCTATATCTCTCTTAGAATGTCTTGAATAGAGGTATATATGGTAATATTTGTTTTAAGAATTAATCAATCAACAAGTATTTAAGTTCCTAATATGTGCCTGGCACAGTAGATACAAGTAGAAATAATGAAACAATCCTTACCCCCAAGGATCTCACATTCAAATGGGAGAGACAATAAATACATATAAAAATAAATATAGCATAAAGTATATCTATATATGCATACATACTATATATACACATATATACACACATATACACACATATACACATATATGCATACACGCACACAAACACATATATATATATAATACATATATATAGAGAGAGAGAGAGAGAAAGAGAGAAGGGAAAGTCATTAAATACAAAGTAGTTTCGGAGGGCAGGTACTAGCAGTTGGGGGTTGGGGGGATTAGGAAAACCTTCATGTAAGTGATGGTGTCTGAGCTGCACCTTGAAGAAAGGAGGGACTCAATGAGTCAGAGGGAAGGTGGAAGTACATTCCAGGCATGGAAGATGGCCATTCCAAAGGCACAAAAACAGGAGATTGAACTGTCATGTGTGGGTAACAGTGAGGAGGCTGGTTTAGTTGAATTGAAGAGTAGGGAGAGAATACATATGACAAAGCTGTAAAGATAGTTTGGGGCCAGGTCATGTAAGATTTTAAAATCTAAACAGAAGAGTTTATATTTTATCCTAGGAGCAATAGGAAGGCACTGTAATTGATTGGGTAGGGGTTACATGTTCAGATCTGAGTTTACAAAAAATACATTAGCAGCCTTGTGTAGGGTGGATTGAAGAGGTGAGAAACATGAGGCAGGGAGATCAATTAGGAGGATGTTGCAACAATCCAGGTTAGAAGTCATGAGGTACTGAAATAAAGTGGTTGCTGTGTGAGTGGAGAAAAGGAATTATTTGAGGTTGATGTTTAAAAGGTAGAAATAGTAAGAAATGGAGTGACAGAAAGTGAGGAATTGAGGATAATGCCAAGAAGATTGCAAACTTGGGAGATTGGAAGGATGGTGGCACCTTCCACAGAAATGGGGATATTTGGGAGACGGGAAGGTTTAGAGGGAAAGATAATGAGGATCACAAATAGTTAGCTTGGTCATTTTATGCAGTGGCTCAAGTGCCATAGGTTGTCCCCTCCCATACACACGCCCAATCTTTTGTATCTGTTGTCTTTGAGAGGCAGGATGTTTTATCTTATTGAAATCTTTGCCTACCTTTGACATGAGGTTGGGTTAGGAGAAGTAGAGCTCACCAAGTTGGTGGTCACAACTCCTGACCCCAACACCTGGAGGGCTCCTTTTGTTAAGACTCTTGTTTTTGTTAAAGGAGCAGAAGGTAATGTCATTTGGTAGCTCAATTTTGAAAATAATCATGTTTTCTATGTGTGTTGATATGGTTTCAACTACTCAATTATCTGACCAATGGGTTAAAAGAACGCTTATTAATCTCACGGACAGAGTGGATTGTGGCTTCCTGGGGTAGAGTGTCCCTTTCATATGTTCCTTCAGTACAGCCTAACCTCCCTAGGGAACAGCTGCATTATCTAATTTATGCCTTTGAACCATCTCATTTTTGCTGATTGCTGCTTAAAGGTCACCTCCAAATAAACATGGAAATGAAAGGTCAAGGCATTCAGTTACTGAAGAATCATAAAGCAGCTTTGGTCATCCTCAAATGTAAATTTACTCCCCTTTGCCAGTATGCCATATACCTGTAGAGTCTATTCTTTCTGGGGAGCAACAATGATGTGACTTCAGTTTCCAGACTCTGGGTGCACTGATAGGGTAAGGGAGTTTGGAGAGAGGGGAGTGGGAGGTAATAGCTGCAAATCTCATTTTATAAAAGTGGTGACTGAGCTCCAGAGGGAATTGCCAGTGACATGTGATGAAAGAGTGGGTAGAACTGTCTTTGGCTTACACTCCTGAATAAGTCAGGCCTGGTGAGTGTCAAGTGAATGTATCCAACACTTGTCTCTCCATTCACCTACCTCTTTGGGATTCATTAAATTTGTAGGGAGTGGAGGGGCAGGGAGGTGGAGGGAGGGGGGCAAAGAGGGACTCTGTGTAGTCAAATGAATTGTGCTCTGAGGCTCCAAGATCCCTTGGCTGCCTCTGGTTATGGGCATTCTCCTGAGTTCCATTATGTTCTTAGATCTTGTCAGTAATGAGAGTCGGTGGGAGCTGGTGCTCCAGTTAATTAGGACTTTGTCCTTTCCCTGAGGCCATATTGGTTTAAAAAAAATTTTCAGAGGGACTTTTCTCACCCTGACTATTGTTCAAGTTCCACGTTTAGCTTTTCCTTCCCCATGAAACTTTTTTGCCCCTGTTTTGCCTCATTCTCCTCTACTATGTCTTCTTCTTGTGATCATTTGGATGTAGATAAGTGGTTTTCCAGATCTTTTACTGTTACGTCTTTTAAACTAGTTGTTTCTAACCAGGGGGCCAAAGACTCCTGGGGAGTCAGAGAGTGATCACAAAAGATTTATTTCCAGTCAACTTTTTCTTTCTGTGTCTATCCCTCTGTCTTTTTTCCGTCTGATTCTTTCCACTTTGTCTTCTCTCTTTCCATCTCTGTCTTCTCTCAGTCTCTCTGTTTCTCCTTCTCTCATCCAGACCTGTAATCTTTGATTTCATCAGCATAAGAAATTCCTTCAACCAATATAGATCGACAACTGATCTGTAACTTTTAGTCTTAGATTTCTGGGCCCTGAGAAGTTAAGGGACTTTCCTATAGATGAGGCTATCCCTGGCATTTTGGAAAAGTCCGCTTCCCTTGTGTATCTCTCAGCAGCTATTCTGCTCTTATGGACTAATTCCTTAACAAAGATCAGGACTTGTAACTCCATAGCTCACTCTGTCCACCAGCTGGTAGCAGCCTCAGGACTCCTGCTGGCTCCCAAAATACAGAGAAAAATCAATACTTTTTTGTCTCTTATAGACCAAGGCAGAAATAGAGCCCCAAATAGGTCACTAAGAAGAGATACAATGGCTCCCACTCCTAAGCAAGTCTTTTATGTACCGGGTAGTTGACTTGTAAATACTGGTGATGTCTCAAAGGGATGGAACCCATCAGCTGGCACCAATGAAACTTCTGGAATACCTCTGCTAATAATACCTAAGATGACTTCGATGGCTGAGGATGGTGCCATGGATAGAACATTGAATTTTGAAACAGGAGATCTGGATTTGAATTTTGGCTCTGCTATTTGATACCCATGTAACCTTAGGCAAGATGACAGATGAGTAGGGGGTGAAGAGAACCAGGGGGCAGGAAGCAGGTCACTGATGCTTCCATTGCTGCTCCCCCTTCCCTTAGCTGGACCTAAAAAAAAAAAAAGATTTCCTTAGTTTGCACCTTTTGTATTAACATTCAGTTCTGGCTCAGCAGCCAATTAAAAGGCTTTTCATCCCCAAGCAGTAATCTGATAGGAAACAGTAGGATTATGCCTGGGTTCTGGGAAGAGGGGAGGGAAAGGGCCCCTCCATTGAGCATTTCCCAAAGCATGCTCATTAAGCTTCCACGATATGCAACTGGCAAAGAACACAGTGCAGGCTCCAAGGACTGGGGCCTCATTGGCCGGTCTTCCTATTACCCAAAGACAAAAAACGAAACAGTCCCTAACCGCAAAGAGTACACATAATATGAAGCAATCTCAAAAGGGCAGGAGAGTGAGAAACAGGGGCCGTTAGGAAAGACCTCGTGGAGAAGGAAGCATTAAGACAAAGGTGAGGTGGGAGACTTCTCTTTATTTTTTCCTCTCTTCAAATCCCCTCCCTTTCGCAGGGTCTTTCTTCAGACTTCTCCCCTAACTCAAGCAGCTATGTGTCAGGATGAATAGAGCATCTGGGCTTGGAGTCTGCAAAACCTGAGATCAAATCTTGCCTCAGGAATTTACTGTGTGACCCTGGGCCAATCACTTTCCTTCTCTGTAAAGGGAAGGGGTTGGATTCAAAGGCCTCTAGGACCTCTTCCAACTCTAAATCCAGGATTTTTTTGGGGGGGGGCACGGTTAGGCAATGGAGTTAAGTGACTTGCCCAGGGCCACACAGCTAGTGTGTCTAAGTGTCTGAGGCCGAATTTGAACTCAAGTCCTTGATTTGACTTGAATTTGACTCCAGGGCCTGTGCTTTATCCATTGTGCCACCTAGCTGCCCCTAAATCTAGGATTCTTGATAAGACGGTGGTAGCTTCCTCAATGCTTGACTTTTCTTCCTTCCTTGTTTTTTAAGCTCCTCCCCCAAAAGGTCCTGGAAGGTCAGAAGGTTAGTAGCAAGTTCTCTTCTCTCTCGTTTTCTCTCTCTTTTTTCCCCCTCACCTCAGATCTGCCTCCCAGCTACAAGAACCTCAAACTGAGTGGTTGTCAGGCCTGTCTCCTAGCAGGGCAGTGGCAGGCTTTCTCCCCTTCCCCTCTCAAGCTTGCCTCTGACCAGTCAGGACCTTGGTAGTAAAGGTTTCTGGCCTGTTTCACCTCATGTCAGTTACAGGTTCCCTCCCTCCCCCCTCCCTCCCCCCCTCCCTCTAGCTCCTGGAGGAAAACCAAGCTGCTCTGCAAGGATCCTGACGGTGATGCAAGAGGGTGGAGCCTGAAGAAGGACTCCCCCCTCCCCTCCCAAAAAAAGAAATCCCACCTAAGCGAGGGCTACCCCAGCACCTACCCAACCAGAGGTCCAGGCATTGGTCAGGAGGGGGTCTCTTCTCCTGGGTGGGCCTTCCACCAGTACAACCCCAATCAAGATCACACTGGCTTCAGGTAAAATGCTAGATGGAGCAGAGGAGTTCAGTGGGTTGGTTCTTTGTGCTTTAGATCTTGCCTCAGACAATCAACTGTGTGTCTCTGGGCAAGTCACTTACCTTTGCCTCAGTTTCCCCATCTGTAAAATGAGGAGATTAGATTCCATGACCCTTAAGGCCCCTTTAACTCTGCATCTGTTATCCAATGATCCTACTTGGTCTTTTCCTCTAGCACTCTTCTTAATTCCTGGAGGGTTTTTCTTTTGTTTTGTTTGTTTTCTTACAATTCTGTAGTTTGATGGAGCTAGCCTATCATTGGGATGTATCCTCTCTGAACAACAGATGTTCAATAACTTTATAAATAACCTTATTTACCTTATTTGAACCTCCCAACAACCCTGTGAAATAGGTCTTATGGGTATCAAGTTCATGTTACAGATGAGGAAAATGAGGCACAGAGGAGTGTAGTGACTTGCCCTTTTTCACACAGTTTGCACATGTCAGAGGTGGGATTTGAACTTTGGGTTGTCCTGACTCTGGATCTTGCACTTTCTCCGTTATACTCTGAAAAGATTGGGAGCCAATGATATAGTTTCATGTATTGTCATTTCCTGTGTAGGTCACAGGCATATAGATTTGGAGCTGGAAGGGGAGGTTATTGAGTCTAATGCCCTTATTTTATACATGAGGAGGAAACTGAGACACAGAGTTGTGAAGTGATTGCCCAGGGTCAGACACTAGTAAATGTCTTATTTCTCTTTTTCCTTGAGGATAGACTCCCTCTCTTATCCTTCTGTTCTGTTCTGAACAAACACCTGGTCCAGTGCTGGGTGTATGTTCTTTTGTTGTTCAGTTGTTTCAGTCCTGTCTGACTTTTCATAATCCCATTTGGAATTTTTTTGGCAGAGATACTGGAGTGGTTTACCATTTTCTTCTCCAGCTCATTTTACAGATGAGGAAACTGAGGCAAACAGGGTCAAGTGACTTACGTTCACACATTTAGGAAGTGTCTGAGGTCAGATTTGAACTCAGAGTCTTCCTGACTCCAGGGCCTGTCACCCTATCCACTGCACCACCTAGCTGCCCTGAATGTATGTTCTGTGAACTAGTAAATAAATACCAAGGAGTGGTCTGAAGTTCAGATGGTTTAAGTGATTTACCCATGATCACAGAGCTTGCAAATGTTGGGGTCCATCATTTAGTCAGTTAGCAAGCATTTATAATTTGCTGGGAATTCAGAGAAAGGCACAAACAAAACAAAACAAAACAAAACAGTCTCTGCTCTCAAGGATCTCACAGTCTAATGGGAGGAATGAAGTAAGCATTTATTAAGTGACCACTACATGCCAGTCATTGTGATTTGTACTTTACAAAGATTCTCTCCTTCAACCCTGGAAGGTAGGTGCTATTATTCTTCCCATTTTACAGATGAGGAAACTCCAGTAGTGTCTGAGGTTGAATTTGAATTCAGGTCGTCTTGAATCCAGGTGGAAAAAGCAAGAATTTGAAACCAGGTCTTGCTAATTCCAAATCTAGCACTTTCTATCTACTGCCTAAGTATGTGGTTAGTAGGGTCTGTGCATTGGTAAAACGGATTCTGATTCTATTCACTTAGTATAGTCTCAAATTTACATATAAGATAAAAAGAGGACCATGATCTTTGTAGTGCTCTGCATAGCTGCTATTCTATTGCTGACAACCAAGGCTTTTTGCAGTCACAGAATATATTGAGAGTGGCTACAAAAACCTTGACCATTTGCATCAGTGCTTCATGGAGTCAAAAAGTGATTGGTAGAACCTCTATTATTTTATCTTTTATATGTTTCAGCAATGATGAGTTGCTGATAGCTGAACTTCTTATAGAGAAGCAGTGATGTCTTTTTTTGGTTTAGCATTTTATTTTTCCCTCAGTTACATGTAAAAACAATTTTTAATGTCCGTTTTTAAAACTTTGGGTTCCAAATTCTCTCCCTCCCTCCCCACCCCCCTCATTGAGAAGACAAGCAATTTGTAGTCATGTAAAACATACTTCCATACTAGCCATGTTGTGAAAGAACACATAGACCAAAAAAAAAAAAAAAACCTCTAGAAAAATAAAGTAAAACAAGTATGCTTCAGTTTGTATTTCAAACACCATCAGTTTTTTATCTGGGGATGGATAGCATTTTTCATCATAAGTTCTTCAGAGTTGTCTTGGATCATTGTATTACTGAGAATAGCTAAGTCATTCACAGCTGATGATCTTACAATATTGCTGTTACTTTGTCCACAGTACCATGTCACTTTGCATCAGCCTCTGTGAGTCTTTCCAGGTTTTTCTGAGAGCATCCTATTGATCATTTCTTATAGCACAATAATAGTCCATCACAGTCACATACCATAGTTTGTTAGTTTGTTCAGCAATTCCCCAATTGATGGGCATCCCCTCAATTTCCAATTCTTTGCCACCAGGAAAGAGCTGCTGTAATATTTTTGTACATATAGGTCCTTTTCCTTTTTGAAAATCTCTTTTTGGATACAGACGTAATAGTGGTATTGCTAGGTCAAAGGGTATGCGTGGTTTTATAGCCCTTTGGGCATAGTTCCAAATTGCTCTACAGAATGTTTGAATCTGGTCACAACTCCACCAACAATGCATTAATGTCTCATTTTTCCCACATACCCTTCAACATTTGTCATTTTCCTTTTCTGTCCTATTAACCAATCTGATAAGTATGAGGTAGTACCTCAGAATTGTTTCAATTTGCATTTCTCCAATCAGTAATGATTTAGGCATTTTTTCATATGGCTATAGATAGCTTTGATTACTTCATCTGAAAACCATTCATATCTTTTGATCAATTATCAATTGGGGAATGGTTCTTATTTTTATAAATTTGACTCACTTCTCTATATGTTTGAGAAATGAGGCTTTTATCAGAGAAACTTGCTTCAAAAATTTTTTTCACAATTATGATTGCTAACTGTATTTTCCTCCATCCCATTTCTCCCTCTGTTTATTCTATTCTCTCTCCTTTCACAGATTTCTGTACCCAATTGAGTGTGTATGTTATTCCCTCTTTGAGCCAATTCTGATGAGGTAAGATTCATTCACTCCCCTCTCCTCCCTCCTCTTCTCCCCAACTGTAAAGGCCTTTTCTTGCCTCTTTTATGGGAGATAATTTGCTCCAGTCTACCTTTCCCTTTCTCCCAGTGCATTCCTCTCTCACCCCTTAATTTTATTTTTTTTAGGTATCATCCCTTCATATTCAACTCACACCTGTGCCCTAATACTCCTTCAAACTATCCTAATAATGAGAAATGTCTTATGAGTTACAAATATCATCTTCCCATGTAGAAATGTAAAAAGTTTAAACTTATTAAATCCCTTATGATTTCCCTTTCCTGTTTATCTTTTTATGCTTCTCTTGAGTCTTGCATTTGAAAGTCAAATTTTCTATTCATCTCTGATCTTTTCATCAAGAATACTTGAAAGACTTCTATTTCATTGAATGTCCACTTTTTCCCCTGAAGTGTTATACTCAGTTTTGTCCGGTAGGTGATTCTTGATTGTAATCCTAGCTCCTTTGCCTTCCTGAATATCATCTTGTGTTATTTTGACTGTGGCTCCATGATACTTGAATTGCTTCTTTCTGGCTACTTGCAATATTTTCTCTTGACCTGGGAGTTCTGGAATTTGGCTATAATATTCCTGGTGGTTTTCATTTTGGAATCTCTTTTAGGAGATGATCAGTAAATTCTTTCAATTTTGTGTTTTACCCTCAAGTTCTAGCGTTTTTCCCGTGATAATTTCTTGAAATATGCTGTCCAGGCTCTTTTTTTGATCATGGTAGTCCAATAATTTTAAAATTATCTCTCCTGGATCTATTTTCTAGGTCAGTTATTTTTCAATGAGATATTTCACATTGTCTTCTATTTTTCATTCTTTTGATTTTGTTTTATTGTTTCTTGATTGGCCAATTTTGCTTTTCATTGCATTCTTCTTTTCATTATTTTTTTTTGTACCTCTTTAACCATTTGGCCTAGTCTGCTTTTTAAGAAGTTATTTTCTTCAGTATTTTTTTGTGTCTCCTTCACCAAGCTGTTGACTTGTTTTTCATGATTTTCTTGCATCACTTTCATTTCTCTTCTCAATTTTTCCTTTATCTCTCTTACTTGACTTTCAAAATCCTTTTTGAGTTTTTCCATGACCTGAGACTAATTCATATTTTTCTTGGAGGCTTTGGATGTAGGAGCTTTGACTTTGTTGTTCTTCTGAGCATGTATTTTGATCTTCTTTGTCACCATAGTAACTTTCTATGATCAGAATTTTTTTCTGTTGTTTGCTCATTTTTTCCAGTCTATTTCTTGACCTTTAACTTTTTGTTAAAGTGGGGTTCTGCTTTCACGGTGAAGGATGAATTGTCCCAAGCTTCAGAGTTTTTGTGCAGCTATTTTCAGAGATACTTCTAGGGACCTGTAAGTTTTCAATTCTTACAAGGTGGTATGATCAAAGGAGAGGTATTTACTATTCTCCTGACCTGTGCTGTGGTCTTTGAGTGGCCACAAACACTCTTTTCTGTCCTGGAACTGTGAGGAGGGTACCCCCTCCACTGGGGCCAAAAGCTTTGCTGTGCTAGTGTTCTTCCTGACTGCCACCCAGGACTGTCACCCATATCCAAGTATGGGCAAAGCAACAGAATCCTGACCCCAGATCCAGGAAAGGGACCACTGAAATCTCCTTCTAATCAGTTGTTCAACCCTTTTGCCGTCTGTGAGCTGAGCGCTCTGGAAGCAGCAGCTGCTGATGCAGATTCAGTGGTTCCCAACATCTGCTCCTGGTTTGCTGGGGCTGGGTCTGTGCTGGTGCAGCCTGAGCTGGACTGTGTTCTACTCTTGCCTTGGTGTGATAGATCTTTCCTGCTGACCCTCTAAGTTGTCTGTGGCTGGAAGCTTATTTCACCCTGTCCTTTTGTGGGTTCTGCCACTCCAGGAATTATTTTATGGCATTATTTAAAGGTGTTTAGAGGGGTTTTGGGG